AATTCAGGTCTTTAATGACTCCTGTTCATTTAATGCGTTTTAATGTTGTGTAAAACAAGCCAACAACATGCTAATTCTAGTTGCATTTCCATTACGCAAAACTGTTTATAGTCTCGCTAATTTAAATAAAAGCAAATCTTCACAATTGGGGTATTTCAATTACATAAAAAAATACAATTAAAATTGCACATGAATACGTTTGTTCACAAGATATCTTTTGAAAACAACATGTGTCAGCCCATGTAAACACTTGAATGAGATGTAGCCATGTTTTAGCAACAACTCTAGTGGTCATTTCACTCATTGTTGGGAAACTATGTTGCCTCATGCATCCAGATATCCCGATCTATCATTCCCTACTTCTGTCTACATGTTTTTATTTCTAAACGAAGCTTTCCAGAAAATCTTTTTTAATTAAAAGACTTGAGTTTTTTTTTTTATTTCAGTGTTTCCATTTAGCACATTTATTTTTTTAATTACAATTTGATAGTTGATGGAAATGCAGCTTGTGACGACATGGTGATCCACCAATGCTGTTGGTGGATCACCAAACAGAAACAAGTCAAACACATCAATAAAGTTTCTGAAAAAGTCATTAAGTTCATGGAAGTTCATCTAATCTATGATGTAATCAAGTACATGGTCGTTATTAAATATATAATGACTGTGTCATGATTGGTTTAATGAATCTGACCCACATGTAGAGAAACCACTCAGAGAACACAGAGAAAAGTTTAACAGGTTTATTTGTAGCAAAAAGAACGGAGGTTGGATCTGGAACTCAGAGAACTGGTGAAACGGAACTGGAAAGCCTGAAGGGGAGATCACAGAGATCAGTTCCGGGACCGTGGGAAATGAGACTGCGGCTTGAATTATGCCGGAATACAACTCATGTTTGAGGGGGCTCTTGTCAATCCAAGAATCCAGTCTGTGTGGGTTTATCCAGACAAGAGGGAACTCTTTCGAGAGCGGACAGGTAGACATACGTTGGACCTGGAGGAGTAACGGAGCGGACTGTCCGATTTCCAATGGGAACTTTAACGGATCATGTGGAGGTTTTCCCCTGCTCAGTGTGTACTCAGTTAATCCTTCCAGGGGGAGAAGGTCCATGTTACACAGTTACACAGGAAGGCTTCCTGCCGAAGAGCAAAGACAAAAACAATATAAGACTCAGAGAAACAAAGCTCAGGTGAGACTCAGCTAATCTCAGCTTGGCTAGAGTACCCAAAACTAGCAAACACTCTGGCGGTAGTGGCAGCCCACTGCTCAAGTACTCCTCCAGTAACGTCGCAGGTGTGCAGGGAGGCCCAACGAAGACAGGGCACCACCTGGTGGTGTAGAGAGAAGGGACACACAAACAACCCACACAAACTGGATTCCTAACAGACTGACGTCCCGACTGATGATGATCATAATAATTAAAGTTTATCTCAGCAACAATAGAGACTAAATGAAATGGAACTAAAATGTATATATTACATATTAAACCATCTGGACCTCAGATCAGTTTGATAAACTCTGCATAGTCACCATCATCATAAAACCCAGCCCCAGCATATAGAGGCTGAGTGAATGTGGTCTGGACTCTATGGAGGAGAGTCATGGTTTCAGAGACGCTGTAGAAAGAAAGAATACCTGCTCTGTGATCCAGATACACTCCTATTCTGGAGGAAAGTGGACCCGGTACTAGAGTTTTAATGTTGTTGTGGTAAAATTTGCAATTGTTTGTTTCACAGTACAATGACCAAGAGTTTTCATTAAATCCAAACACACATTCCCCCTGCTCTCCTGCTCTGCTGACATTTTTGTATGACACTGCTAAATCAATCTTTTCTCCTTTCCACTCCACCTCCCAGTAACAACGTCCAGTCAGACTCTCTCTGCTCAGAACCTGAAGCCAACCAGTAAATCTGTTTGGATGATCAGGATAAGGCTGTTGTTCTTCCATTACTGTTACTTTTTTGTTCTCCTCAGATAATAGAAGATTTGCGTGTGCTGTGTTTGCATCTAAAGTTATTTCAAGTGAATGTCTTAAAAATCCTGCTCTTGTCTTTGGTTCTGACAGTAAAACGTCCACTTCAGTGACTGTCAGTGAGATGTTTGTCTC